CGGGGTGAGCTCCCCTCTCTGGCCCCAGCTCCTGCCAACCTAGTAGTGCAAAAGCAAGAAATTGCAAGTAGATAAATAGGTACTGCTTTGGTGGGAAGGTAACAGCGTTCCGTGCACCTCAGTGTCTAGTCATGCTGGCCACATGACCATGGAAATGTTGTTGGGCAGCGCTGGCTCTTCGGCTTTGAAACGGAGATGAGCACTGCAACCCTAGAGTCGGATTCGACTGGCTTTCAAGCAAGGGAACCTTTACCTTCATCTATGAGCTATCCTGAGTCGCCGCTCAGTTCTTTAGCTCCTCCGTAGTATCCCTAGTGACCAGTGTTCCCTCTAAGCTGAGTTAGTGTGAGCGTGCTCACAGTTTTTTAGCCTCCGGCTCATACATTTTTGTCTTCGCTCAGGAAGGATGGGGCTCCAGAGCAAACTGATTTATGCAGTAGCCAAATGGCTCGCTCACAATTTTAATGCCAGTAGCTCACAGAGTAGAATTTTTGGTCCCAAGACTCCACAGCTTAGAGGGAGCATTGCTCGTGACTCACAGCAACAAATCGATTTGTTCTACTTTAAGGTGATATAGTATTTCCCAGTTACGTGATGATTTTAAATAGCTATGTTAGTGCTTTCTATTTACTTTTATGGTAAGGTGTGTTTATGCCTAGGCTTTATGCCGATCTATGATCGTAATACATTTCTGATTTGATCCGAAGTAGTGAGCAGTGATGAAAGCGCGCCCCCCCCCCCCCGCTGCAAATTTCGTTAGCCTTGAAGGTGCTCCTCCTGGACTCTTGCTCTCTCCCCCCCCCTTTATCCTTCCTAAGCGGCCCCCCTCTTACGTAATACTTCTGGGGGTCCCCCCTCTCCCTTTCTCCAGTATCAACTTTATTCTCTGCAGCCCGTGGAAAACGAGACTCTGGGACCACGCCGGCGAGTCGCTTGGCCGCAACACCAGCAAAGGCGTCCAGCCCGGCTTCGCTTTCCTCCTCCTCCGGGGGTCTCTTCCCTTCGCAGCGATGGGTAGCGGCTGTCTCTCTCTCTCCCCCCCCCCCTCCTTTTGTGCGGGCCACGCACCGGCTGGCCGGCGGGGGATTGGCTAGGCTCGGCGGGGCCCGCCCCTTCCTGGTCGGGCAGGCCATGCATATGCATGAGGCTAGCTCCCTCCTCCTCCTCCTCCCCCGGGGTGTAAAGCGGCGAGGGCGGAGCCGCGCCGCCCGCCCGCCCGCTCCTCCAGCCATGTCAGCCCGCGCCCGCCTGGGCCCACCGTGAGCGATGGCCATGTCTGTGAGCCCGGACGAGGAGGACTACGACTCGGAGCAGGAGCAGGTCCGGGCGGAGGGCGAAGTGGGGCGGGCGGGGTGCTGCTGCTGCTCCCCCGGGGCGGGCGGCGGCTGCCGCTGCTGGGGGTCCTGCCTGCCCAGCGCCGGAGGGGGGCGGGGGAAGAGACAATGTCG